AGGCAGTATCACTACGGAAGTAGGATTGCCCAACCTTCCTTCCGAGGAGTGGCTGGTGGGTTTGAACCGCCAGCCTTCTGGTTAGCAGTAAAGTGCCTTAGCCACTATGCTACCAGAGCGTAGAAAGTGAAAATTTTTAGAACTCCTTGGCAACTAATTATCATTGGCAGTATTTCCAAAAGTTTATATGCATTCTGGATCAAATACTTGGGCCAGATAAATTTGGGACTTGTGATATGCTACTCTCCCCTCTTTCGCAGTACTTACTAAAACAATAAAAGCTCTGTGATATAGAACTGAATTTCTGGGAAGCTTTGCCAGGTGCCTTAGACAGGAATTTTTGTTTTTGGCAGGGGGATAAATCCAGCATATAAGTTTATTTTTTCCTAATGACATCTCAAGGTGGATACTTATTTTTTAAAGATTGACTCTTTCTAGTACACCATGCATATGCATATCTTTTAATTCTGTGTGTTTATAGGTATATAATATCCGTTCCTCTTAACACCAAGTAGGTTGTCTGTTTTTCATTAATAAATTTTCCATAAAGTTTTTTTTCCCCTATGTATAAAGCTTCCTTAATATTTTCTACTTGTGCAAATCAAGTCTGTGTGTTTAAAAACAACTTTAAAAGTAGCTTACACCTAAATCTCTGTTTGATGGTTATTGGGCACTTTTTCACTGTGCTGACCATACTAATTTCTTCAAGAGTTATAAAAATGTCACGGATTATACTTGTAGGTACTGTTCTTTTATCTCTTTTTTAACAGTGTCTTTGAGGGAATAAACTATTTAGATTCTAAGCATTTAAAGATTTCAAGATTTGAGTTATTTAATATTTAACTACAAAGGTCTGTGACTTTGAAATAACTATTTTTTACAAATAATGTACCTGTGTAAATAACACACTTATATACGTATAATACACATAATGCATAGAAAAATAATGTGCAAGGAGGTTGCACAGTTTGCAGAAACATAATGCATACATTATTTGTGTAAAAACATGGTAATAAGTATTTTTGTTTTGGTTGACGTGTGGTAGAAATTATCTAACAAATGAACCTGGCCAGTTAATTTGTATTACAACTGTTTTTTATTTTTCACTTGACTTCCTAGATCTAGTAACATTAATTAAGGTTCTGAAGAATTCACTTAAAACATTCATCTCTGTTTTATTATGTTCTAAGGTAGAAATGATATGCTGTGCACTCTTGAGAATTTGTGAATTCTAGAAACTTACTGCATTCGTTAAGAATGTCAAAGAACTTTTCTGTGATTTGTATGGTTTTTCCTAAACACGATTGATTTAACAATCTATGTTGTCTCAACATACCCCACACCCCTGCCCCTTGACCCTGTGCCAATCTTGATGAGATTAGACAGATAGTTTAGCAGTTTGGAAAGTTGCTGTTCATCTACAGCTGGCCCAGAGGTTAGCAAGGAGCATTAGGCTTAGTTGCCTTTCTTCTTCACTTGGTACCTTACCTCTAGGCTCCTCAGCTAAATGCTCATCAGAAGGTGGGGTGGGCATCTTACATATAACACTTTTAGTACTTCATAGATTGCTAGTGAGCTCATCTTACCAAAGACAGTATTTTTAAAAGTCATTTACATAATATTTATTATTATTAAAATAATATTATATTTATACTGCCTTGGAAACCCAAGGAGGGGTCGCGATGAGTCGGGTCCGATTCGACGCACATAACAACAACAGCAACAGGCCCCTTTTAAGAGAGTGCATCCCTATGATCTGTCCCATCAAGGATGTTCTCTGCATTTTCTCTATTAAGGAAATTAAAGTATCCATAGTTTGCAGTCTATCTGTATAGCAATGTTACTAACTCTGGTACACAGAGTTAGGGAAATTAAGCACCTTCTTAAGCTGTTACCAGTAAGTATTAACCCTGAGTGGAGTACTTAAAGTATCTTGCAGAATTGTCTTACCATTTTCCACGGCTCCGTAGGATTTTCAAGGCTGATTTTTCAGCAGATCACCAAGCCTTTCTTCCAAGGTACCTCTAGATGGACTCTTAACCTCCAGCCTCTCAGCAGCCAAGTGCCTTAAACCGTTTGAACCACACAGGGACTGACTTCCCAGAGTTGCCTATTTTTTCTTGGAAGAACAAAGTTCATTCATTCTACTTTCACATACAAAACCCACGCAGTTTCCTCTAAGGGGCTTTCCAGGCTTGTTTTTCTTTTCAGATTCAAAAACAACATGTAATGGACAAACTTGTTAATGTCAAAATTACATTATTATCAGCACATTATTTTGCCTTATTAATTTGTGACCAGGTGTTCCTCAAGAATAAAGAACGGTAGTTAAGAGAGGAGACTCTAGATCCAGCTTGTTTTTTGATCTTACCCTAGCACATACCAGCTGCATGATCTTAGACAAGTCACATGCAGCTTTATTTTCTTCATATATGAAATGAAAATGGTAGTACCTAACTTGTAAGAATCTTAGCTTGATACCTGGGACAAAGTAAGTTGCTTATTAAACATTAAAATGTTAGCTATTACCACTATTATCACCACCATTACTTTTTTTTCCCCCCCTAATTGTGATTTGGGTGGAAGTTTACAGAGCAAATTCACTTTCCATACAGCAGCTCAGAGATACTTTGTCTCGTGACATGGACTGCAATTTCCCACAATGCAACAGCTTCCCTCCTACTTCCTTCCCATAGTTACCTTCCTCTGTCCTTCCCTCCTATGCACTCCTGTCCCCTGAGCTGTCTCCCTGTGCATACACAGCCCTTCTTTTCTCCCGTGATTGATCTCTCTGAGGAGTGTATCCAGCTAATGTAGATGTTCAGCTTATATGCCTGTCTTGTTTGGCTGGAAGCCCCAGAAGTGGGTTCAATTCCAGACTTGAAGGGCAGCATGGGCCATAGGGATTTCAGCAGGCTCTATCAGAGGAGCAAACCTGATCCCCTTTTTTTTTTCCCCTAAATGATTTTTGAGTTTTGTTCCACATTGTTCTCCCACTCTGTCCAGGATCTCCTACATAGATCCCCCTCCGAGTGGTTGACAGTGGTAGCT